CTGTTTTCCTACAGCTGAAAAGAGTGTCTGCAATTCTGGAAAGGCATATATATTCATACTGCTGTATTACAGTAATTGATTCAAATTGAACATAAGTACAGCTGAATTACTAAATGCATTTTAAAGGCTGGATAAAACAGGGTGGAAAGGCAGGAAATATAACCCTGCATATATAAGGTCTGGAAAAGCAATCTATTTCTTATGTTCAATTTTTGTGTTCATTTTTATGCACCTGATAGCGGCAAGAAATATGACCTAAATTCCTCCCACTGCGCTTTCGACAACTGAACAGCTTCCTCTGTGTATAGATTGCAACTAAAAAGTCTGAAAGGAAGGAAACTTCTTTGGCTCTTCTTCCATTATTTTCCAAAGTAGCTTGGGAAATCATGACAGGGCTTCTTCTCTGCAGACCTGACTGGGGGTGACGTCCTGAGCTGAGAGGAAGGTGTTACAGTACAGCTGACCAGGTGAATTCAAAGGGCAGAGATGTTTTCTGCCAGGTCTGTGGAACTGGTTGGGCAGAAGTGCCAGCTGAGCAGCCTCAAATCAGTGCAACGATACTGAGCTCTGCAGCAAGAAGTGCTTTCAAGCATGTTGAAATCACCAGAATTTTGATGTGCTTGATCCACCATTACTAGCCATACTGTCTGAAAGCTCTGTTTCAAAGAAAGCCAGTGAAACTAGGTGGTTTGCTAGCACATTTCAGCCTTGGGACTGTTTTCTGACCTTGCGTGATTAGGAGTCAATCTACAAGTCTTTTGGCCAACACAGACAGGGCTAATCGATGTCTATTCTTCTGCCATTTTATCCCTCTGGTTTTTTGGTGTTTATTTTTTTTTAAGTAAATTTAATTTTAACTACTGAGAAGCCAAGATTCCAAATCTCATTGCCAAGCCAGAACACTTTTCTAATGTTTATTCCCCTTGAATCCTGATAACTGAAGCTGTTGGAGTGCTTTTGGTTTCTATCTTGAAAGCAGGTGTCGTGGTTTGAGACTTCAAACCATGACAGCAGGTCATTGTCATACACAGTCCTGCCGAGTGGCACAGTGTGTCCTTGCCACACTGGAGAAGCAGACCCTGTGCTTTCTTCACAGTGGTAGCACAGCCTGTCACAATGAGTGATGTCTTATCATGTTTCAGATGTGACAAGAAAAGCATTTTTCAGTGTAGTAGACCATTTAAGAAGCAGAAGAATGCAGTGATACAGTGGTGTGGGAGGAAGAGCAGAGGTCACAGGCTGCTGCCCCACTGAGGGGCCAAGGCCAGCTCCAGGCTGGGTGCTGCTCTCTGCTCTCTCCGGTGACAGGCACCAGGCCAGAGGCCTCTCAGGGCCCCAGGGCCACCTCCCTTCAGGTCAGTCTGTACCAGGGATGCTGAGAGGCAGCCACAGTTCTCAGTGCTCAGCAGCTGCAGGAGAAATAAGCACAGAGCAAAAGGTTGAGGGTGTGCTACCACAACAGAGGGGGTGGCATGCACCCCTCAGAGGCCTCTTACCCAAAGTGCATTCATTTGTGCTAAGTGTTAGGAAAAAAAAAAAAAATTGGAGCTCTAATTGTTACTATATTGCTACCTAGGGTGCCATACTATTTGAAACTGCAGGTTAAATTAAAGAGTGGTTCCAAGATAGATTTCTTGTTCTCCTACATGCATGTTCTGTGAATGAGATTATTATTCTAACTTCATCAGGAAAACTAATCTGCCACATTTCATTTTGTGCAGATTTGTGGTACTGAGCACAAACATAGTGATGTTTTGCAAGACCCGAACTATTCCTGAGATATATTTTTTTGCTTAATTTTTGCTTGAAACCACTTGAAACATCATCTCTTGCAATTTGTATTAACCTATGGAGGCTAGGAACCTTTTAAGAGAATAGTCTAGCACAATCTCTTTCAGATCTCCACATTTCTATTAGACTTTGGAGTTCTTTGTTTAAAATATCCTGCTTTATTTCTGTGTATTTATTTCTGTATTTCTGGGATGATCAGTCTTCCCATTACTCACATTTGGAAAAATTCTCCATATAAGGTGATAAGCTGGTATTAAACACATAGAGTGTGTCCCTACAATTCACTTTCAGGAAATATAATTACAGACTCTCTTATATTTCATTGATCCCCATGAATTTCATACCTGGAGTGAGGCTTCACTTAAACCTTTTCTAAGCTCTGAATTGAACATTTTGACTCCATTATTATTGCTGGTGTATATAATGGTTGGTCATTTATCTGAACTGAAAATGCTTTTTTGTTCAGAGACCTACTTTGCTGTAATCCACATAGGAGAATATGCATGTCCTCTTTAGACTCAAGGTACTTTGAATTTCAGGTTAGAAAGGGAACAGTAGGTCAGAATAGGCATAGTCTTAAAGTAGAACCTTTTAATCTAACTAAAAGCTTTTAGCTCGCTTCATGTATAATTGAAAACAGTATAGGTTCTCCTAAATATTTGAAGATACTAATGGATTTAAGTGAATCTGAATGAAAGGGAAGCCAGCACAAAGCTTCAGTTCTCCATCTAATTTTGTTACCTGCCATGCTAGTTTTCAACAGATTCAAGACTGTTGTTTATGTTTTTCTTTTCACTGACACTGTATTGCATATCCTTCAATGTGCAGAAAAGCTTTGCAATCCTCTGCGGGGGAATCTTCTTCACAAAAAGGCCTGAAATTTATTTATCTAATAGATCTTCAGCTATATCTCTGTAACAAAGTCTAGTATACGGCAGTAGGGTGATGCTAATTCTGGTGACTGCCTCCATTTCAGGATGTCTGCACACCCTAGGCCAGACCACAGGGCCACCTGCTCCAACCACGTGCTGTACTGCCCAGCTGCAAGCAATTCTTGGCAGGGAATCAACTGTCTGCATTGGGCTTGATGCTGTGCTAAGCCCTAAGTCTTGAGCAGAGTTGCATAAATTATCACAATCCTCTTCTCCTATTTTTTGTTATCATCTTGCATACCGGGCTGCTCCTGAGAGACGGGACTTATGCGCTCAGTGCTGTGCTAACCCCCTCTATAGTGAGAGAAACCTGTTTCTTCTGGAGTGAATAAAACCCTGTGGTTTCTGGACCAAAGCTGATGTTCAGTGATGTACTCAGGAAAGTCAGAGCTAACCCTATGCGCACCTGACTGCAAAGCATCTTCTAAGCATATCTTTTTTTTTATTCTCTCAGTCATGGAGAGAGATAAGATCTTACAGATACCCCTTAAAAGGTTCAGAATAAAAAGGCTAATATACATTATAGCTTAGTTTTCTCTGAGCTTGTGCCAACAGATATGGGACCACATTTGTAAGCCATAACTGACAGCTGTAGGTTAATTTTATTATGCACATATAAGGTTCTGTGGACATTAATTTCCACACACATAAATGGTTGGCTTTGTGTGCACGTAAGCTCCAACCCAGAACTTTTCAGACACGGCAGTGCTCTTCCCAGGCTAGGGCAGGCTTGGGTGCCTGGGTAGCCAGCAGTACTGGCTAAAATTTGTGTCCATTTCTACCTGAGCATTTAGATATGCTAACGCAGAGGTGGAATTCTGAAAATAACATATATGTTAGCTCCTTCCCACCTTCCCCTCTATTTCATTGCTTGTAACCCCTTTATAATTATTTTGTCACCCCTTAATAATTATTAATAAAAGGAAAAAAAAGACTTTAAGGACTTTGATTTAAAAAAAGAATGGATATGAACACAAAGTTTGACAGATGGAGAAAACCTTCTGTGAATAAAGCTTAGTAATAATTTTTCATAACTGTTAGGGGAAAAGAGTTTACAAACAATTTTAATTTTTAGTATTGATAAGGGTTACAGATTTTATTCTGAATTTTAGACACATTGAACACCTTTTATTCTTTTATGCTTAGATATGCTCTTAATGTGCGGCATATCAGCTTGAATGTTTACATATGATCTGACATGGAAAGAGTCTTACAATTTGTAAAACAGTATACTTATCACTTATGTTTGCTCTAATGATGACAGTGATTCCAAACTCAGTCTGGGGAGCCATAGTTTTGAAATACCTCACAAGGTATGAACCTCCAGAAGGCATTTAGAGCTCCTAAGCAGGATGCCAAACTTTTAGATGACAAATCTCTTTCCATAAAAGATACATCCTTATGGAGCACCAGGAGGTAAAGAAGAGCTGAGTTGCACAAGTCTGTCTGGAAAGATATGCAAGCTTAAAATACATAATGATTTACAGAATCAAAAATTGCAGAGCATTTGCAAGCATAAAACATATGAACATATTATTCTGCAAAAAATGTAAATGTAAGTAAAAATTACTATTTAAATCAATGCACTTAATTTTAAGCATGGTGAACAGGTCTATTTGTACTCTTACATTTCAGTCCTTCCGAGCAAGGTATCTCTGCTCGCTGTCTTTAAAAAAGCAGAGTAGCAACAAGACTCCCAAGAAACTTATAAATGGAATCAGTGTCTGGAATGTAGTGAAAAGGAGTTTAATAGCAACCAAAAGCAGAATTTTCCTACTGGTGAAACTAAGGCAAGAGGTGCATGAAGCTTTACAATTGTAATATGGTAAATATGCCATATGCTTTGAGAAAGACTCCCTGTCATTTGTAAACAATCTTTACAAGAAAAGTCTACATTTAAATATACAGTTTCCACGATCTGTCATGATGATATGTTTTCCTTTTGGTGATTATATATGTTGACAATGGTAGAGCTAAAGCTTTGGAACTAAACATTCAGTAATGGAATTTGTGATACTACAAAAGTCAGACAAGGGAAGACTAAAAGGAGTCTAGTGTCAAGAGTAAGAAAATCCAACCAAGAGTGCTTTGTGCTCTCCTGAATAAAAGTTTATATCAGTCCTTTCATGTAGTGTATCCCCATGCAGCACCTTAGTGCTGAAATCAGATATTATAAGAAAAAAATCATACGAGCTGAAAATGCAGATAAAATATCTGTAGTGGTCTTGAAGGTAAATTAAGATGTAGAACTGGAGTATAACATGGTGACATCATTTGTTTTTTGCTTTAAAAAGAAAATAAAGGAATCCAGAACAATTTGGCAGGTTGTTACAGAATGCTACTGATGGAAATAATCCTGATGAATCTCACCATTGCATAAACCTGTGGCAATAATATTAGGTTCAGGCTTCCGAGTCCTAGTGAGTAAAAGAAATTGAGAGGTCAAAGATTGACAGCTGCTCTTTCACAACAGAAATAGCCAGCCCAATACCTGTAGCTGGATCTTAATTAAAATTGAAGATTGACAAAAATTTTCAAAGTGGACCTACAGTTCTTTAAAAAACCAGTTGTGCAAAAAATGGGTGTTATACATATATTAAAAAGATGTAAACAATGAAAGAGCTAGTTCAAGCTGACAGGAGAAAAAGGAATGTATTCAAGCTACAGAAAGTGTATTTCACATTCAATGTCAAGAAGAGTATTCTAAACTAAATGCAAAAAAGGAGAAAAAAGATTTCTAAATCTTGACTATTAAATTCCAATATTATGTATCACTACTGGCCTTATGACCACTCACAATATCATCTAATTAAGGACTGCACTAGAAAAGTATTAGGACTATATAACATCCGTCTTTTCCTTTGAAAATGATCTCCATAAAAACAAAAGCAGAACTGCAAATACTATGCATACTGCTTGTTATTTCCAGTCACAAAATACCACAGTCTGTAAATAAGGCACGCCAAAGGCATGCAACTGTCCTGCTCTAGGGGGAAAAATACTGAACTCTTCATCTTTCTCAAGGACATAAAAAGTTAGAGAAATAATTAACCTTTTAATAAGCATGCAATACCTCTGGATGTCACTTATACATTCATCATTTATACATTCGTAACACCAGAAAAGGAAGATCCTTTAATTTGAATAGGCTAAAGTGTCTGCTGTTTTTCAGATTATGTATTTGGTTTGGGAATTCTGATTGCTGGAAAGCTCTTCTGTCTTGCCCAGAAGGGCTCTGCTCTGACCTCCTGCATTACTCTTTCCTGCCTGTCCTTGCTGACCAGAAGTCACAGTGTTTCATGGAGCAATGTGCATTTCCTCACTTTCTTTAATGAGCAAGCTGGTTACTTCCAGGCAGACATAGAAACAGTCAGCAATGTCTGCCAGTTTAGCTACAGATGTCACCCTTGGCTGTAAACTGGGGGAGAGGCAGACTGGACTGGCACATTTTGTAAATAGCAAGTACTAAAAATGTCTCATAAAGTCAAATTTCCTGCTTTTAACTAGGAATTGTTAATGCAAGTTGCATGTACTGAGCATTTAAACTTATCTAGTTTTGCTACTCTGGAGCATAAACCAGGAGAAATGTCAGTCAAAACCTTTTCACCAGTGCCTACTGGTGGCTATGCTTTGTGATTTGTTTGTTTTTTGTTTTTTTTTTTTTTTTTTTCTTTAATAAAGTAGGAGACCTTATTTTTATGCATGAAAATAAAGTACTATTGATACCCTTCTGTTGTAACTCCAGTCTACAGCTGGCTTTTTACAGGAGATTTTGGAAATATTGCTAGAAGTGTTTTGCTAAGCTTGACTGCATAGCAGGAACCATGGGGATTGCCCAAACATAAAGTATACAGAACACTGTGCTGCCACCACACACCCGTGTGTACTCTAAGTCAGTCATTCACCCCAGAAACACAAAGAAAGGAGTGGAGAAAGTAGTAACCTAACACTTCCAAAACCCAAACAGCATTATTAGGAGGCTTCTGGGTGAAAGTGATGCTTTTGATCTGGACAAACATACCTGGCATTGTTATGAGACTCTGAATAAGAAAACAGGACTTTGCCTGTGCTTTTTGCATGCCAGTAGCTTTACGAATAGTCAGTTTAAAAGATCATTGCTATGGGCATTGCATAAATAATTTTATATACATAAATACATATGTATATATATATTATCTATGTGTGTGTGTGTACCAATGCATGTTAAATAAAAGCCCTAAGAATATTTTTAAAACCCATAGCTTATTCTGAGACTTATTTTCTAGGATAAACTATATTTTTAATTAATCATTTCAGAAATCAAAGCCGTTCATCACCTTTTATAATGACTATGCATACACAGCACACTGTTAGATTAATATTAGTTTTTTTCCCCCTCCACTGCAAGCAAAGTTTAGACAGTTAGCTTTCATACTTAGAGATAATTATTAAGCTTCGATTTAGTTTCTTAAATTTCATAATTAGGTCTTTTGATTGTGATCTTTTTTTTTGGTAGTTAGGTCAAAGTAATCAAGTAACTATGTGCAGAAATTAACATTTTTATTATATTAGATTATGTATTGTAGTAGTAAAGCTTGTTTGAAGTGCATGAATAAAAAGTGAAATTACAGGAAGAACAATCTAATATAGCAATACTAGGTGCATTCACTGTGCATCTGAGAGGAGGAGGGGGGAAAAAAAGAGGAGTTTTCACTCATTTTGGCCTAAAATGTGTTCAGGTTTCCAGGATTCTGACATCAGAACCCAGATAACACTGGCTAGAACCATAGGGCTTTACAATAAAAGCTAAAATATTGACCATATGATGGCAAAAAGTCTTTATTTTGCGGTTAACTTATTCTCTTCTAGCTACTCTCTGATGAAGTTGGTGGTGCTGTGGAGGATGATCTCCTTCTTCTTGACAAAGATCGTGATCGTTCAGCACTGTAGGCAACATGCTTATCGTAATTTTGTATCTGAGCCTCGAGGAATTCCCTCTGTTGCTGGCTGATTGTCTGGCTAATCAGTCCAGGAAGAGCTTGAATGCTACCAATTAAAGTTTCCAGTTTAGTTTCCAGAGTAACAATTCTCTTCTCAAAATCTTCACTTCTTTCATTTAAGTCAGAAATCATGTCATACATGATGTTTTGAGTCTGAAAGTAGAAGGATGTAAGTAAAGGTTTAGAGAGACCTTACAAGTATTGTAACAAGTAGCACAACTGTACAAGGGTTTGTAAAACAGGAGATGAGTATTAAAAAAACATCTAGTTTTGTGAAATAATTTTCCCTGTAGATTAAATTACAGTAGACTAAACTTTCTACCAGATTTCTTGAGTAGAAACACAATGGCTTTTAGTAGCACTTTAGACGTCGAAGTTGAAATCAATTAAAGACCAGGCCCCTTTTGGAAATTCAGATGTTTGGGAGTGTACCAGGCTAAGCTTTTTGAACAGTCAGTGTAAGCTACCAGGGGATTGAAGGCTCCACTGATGTATTCCACCCTTAATTGTTCTTGATTCTGGTTTTAAATACCTTCATTCTTCTAATGAGCTCTACAGAGCACAAAGTTGTTCACTGGCTTGCTCCTTCAACTTGGTAGATTTTCTTGAATTGGCAGTAAGAGGAGTTGAGTAGGTTGTTTTTGAAAAGTACTTCAAGAAGTAAAAACTCAATTCTATACTTTTTTTACTTTTGCACTCTCCAATCTATCTGGCCTCCACAAAACACTGCTGAATACAGAAAATATATAGAATGTACTTTAAAATGCACAATGGTCAGTAAAAATGTAATCTGAAATGTGCTGTTTCAAAGAGACTTGCTTAAAACATAATGGCTGAATATCTGCCTCTTTTAGATTGAGGGTCCAGATTATTTAAACTAGAGTCAAAACTGGATATAATTCAGTAGAAAAAATCAGTTGAAATTTATGAACCATCCAAAGGAAAGGAAAATTAATTGAATGACTGCCTGAAGTGTAACCAAACCACTTCAGTATCAGGTGTGTTATAACCTATTGCTCTGCCTCCTGTTTCAGGATGCTAGCATAACCCTTGAAAGTGAAGTAGTCTACACAAAATAGTATATTAAAAGTCCTTATTAGTTGCCAAAAGCATCAGACTGAACTGTATTTTCACCTGAAGTTGTCACGTGGCTCTGTAAAGCAAGAGGGGAATGAACACTGAAGAGTTTAATCTTTGCTTTGATACACTTGAAATCAAGGAGGATTTTGAGGTAAATGAAGAGGTGTACAAGAAACCCTTAAGAAGAGCCCATCAATGCTTCTAAAGTAGCCTCAAATTAACTCACAGTAACTGTTAAATATTAAGTTCCAATGGAAGTCCAAAATGCTATCAGCTCAGACCTCTAGCTTTCTAGTTATTACATGCTTATGAAAAATTCTAGCAACAATAAACAAGCAGCTTACACCTGAATAGCCTCTTTTACCTCAACTCAAATGGTTTAAAAAATATTTAAAAAGCCTTATGATATATTGGCAAAGTAGGCAGCTATTATTCATTATAAAAATTTAAATAAATGCAGGTCTAAATTTACTTGTCCAAAGTTACTGCTGCATAAGACAACAGGAACAGGAATACAGAACCTCTAACTCTAATCTAGAGGCTATTTACTATGGTCTGTCATGGTACAGTCACTATCACCACATGGCAAAGTCTTCCTACTTCACAGCACTACACCACTACGGCCCACTCACAGTTCAGCATTTACCATGACCTCTGCAGTCAGCTCAGGAGCTCTCAGGATCTTTTTCAAATGAAGTCTTTTTCAATTGTACAAAAAAATAAATAAATATGGCATGTTCAAACTTTCATCAGGATACTTCTCCAAGATGTAGGTGCTACCACAAAACACATATTTTCATTTGCTACATATAACACCTTGTCAACAATATTTGCACATATAATGCATAACATTTTCACTAAAAAACTGTTCATTTTGAAAGGATGAATGCTGAAACAACAGTAACTGCCTACTAACCTTTGCCAGGTCCACCAAAGTGTTGGCTTGATCATTCAGTTTCCTTTGTTCCATTTTTACACTTCTTAATCTAAAAAGTGGAATTTTAAGTCAGATTTTTTTTTTGTATGAGGTCATACTAGGATTTCTAGAGAGCATGCACAAAATTTACAAGAGCAATTAACTGCATGGACAATGCCTTGACTACTTTGTGTAGAGTCAGAATCTTTCATGTGCCTGCTACAATGAGAAGCATGCTTCTTCAACACCGCAAAAAAGGAAACAGCAAGGAAATGTGATGTCCTTGAGAATACCATTTGCCATGGTCAAAGTTGAATTCAATAAAGAAGATAAAAATTTATCCAGACTACATGAAAGAAAGCCAAAACATTCCTCAAAGCCTCAGTATCGTGACAAGTAGATATAGGAAGAAACATAGAACAACAGTTTTTTGTCATTATTGTTGTAGCAATCAAGAATCTTCCCATGCCTACATGACTAGATACAGGTATTAGCCCTGTTCTGTCGGAAATGGATTGGGTTAGCAGGTGTTGGAACCTGATGAACATACAGTGATAAGTGAGTTTCTCCTTACTTTAAACAGAACTTCCATCAGATCAGCAGCTAAATAACCAACATGCTTGCCAATACATTTCGTTTTTTGGATAATTTGTGAATCTAAATATGATTACATTTTAAATTTACTATTTAAACTATAGCATTGAAAAACTATGAAAGAAGCAGCAAGGGTACATTTTTTCTTTGATGCGTACTTATCTCCATTATTGTTGGTTATGCACATTTTTTGCAAGATACATGACCCTTCTTATACATTCTCTGATACAAACCCCATGTTTTCCAGATTGACTATCAGAAAGGTTGTTTGCAGATTTGTGATAAGATACCACTTCAGTCTACCAGTGTGCCAAGTGCCAACCAAAACAAGAATCTGGTTAGCTGTCAAATGGAAGTGAGTTTGGCAACTTTTCGTGACAGGTGGGTTGCTAATGCATTCTCTGTCCATTTCTCAGTGATGGTATTACTTAGAAAGGTAGTCTAAAGAAAACCTTCTTGAAGATATTCCAAAACCAAAAAAAGTTTCTTTAGTTGACAAGCATTTCCTTTCATATCTAGGCTAATTGGTATGAAAAAGTAAGTTGTGGAGAGTGAAATATAATTTAAAAATATCTTTAAAATATAAACGGAAATAACTCTGTTAAGGTAGAAATGAACTGATCACATAAAACTGGCATTCCAGGAGATTGTTACTGGAATGCCATATGCTCTTCTTCCCCTGGAAGCTTCTTTCAGAGCACAACAAAAATGCAGACGGTAAGGAGTCGTGTTTTCAGAGGCTACAAGGTGGAGATTTTGTAAAGCAAAAAAGGAGTCTCCAAGGTACAGAACTGTATTATCAAAATGTCAGAACAATTATTCAAAGGAAATTATTTCACTGGAGAATGAAACCCCCAGCATTTTGGTGACCATTCTTTCAAATAATGTGCAGAATATGTGTTTTCTGCTTTTCTTAAGATTCATTGACTCATCTGTTTGACAAGCAGTATTTTAAATTTAAAATTCCAGGAAGTTCATTATTATTGTAGTACCAGTTGACACCAACATGATAATTCTTCATAGCAACCAACCCAACACCTACCACAGGCTGTAAGAACATATAGATGTGGCAAGTCTTTAGCTGCAGCAGCTGGATTTAAAGAAAACCAACAGACTTAGTGTAATTCATCAAGATAAAATTTTGATTTTATGAACTTCACTTATCACAGAAAAAGATCATGATTCTGGATCGCATTTCCATGGCAGCAATCAGACCACTGAAATTCACAAATAAAAACTCTATTTTTTGCATGCAGACAGTGGTAAATTCTGCAAGTTTAGAAAGGAACAGCTTATACAACTTACTTCCGAGCTCTATTTTCATTTGTTGAAAAAAAGACAAAACAAAAGAAAACAAAGTGTAAAATATACTAAAACGACCAAATGAGCACAGTGGGCTCGATTCAGCAGGTGGAAAGTCCTAGGGAGTTGCTACTTTTGATCAGTAGCTGCCTGAGGAGTCTAACTAACTAACATCTAACTCACATTCATGATGTAGGAATCTGCAATATCTTCAAGTCTTCCCAGTAACTATCATCTGTACATTTCCTTATTCATACAATACATAATATGCTTTTTCATGATTTCACCTTCATCTTATCTAATGTGCATGAGAAGCAGAAAACTCAGACCAGCTGAACACATTTATTTTTGTCTCCAGTGAAATGTTTGAAGGTGAAGGAGGGGACTAAACAAAACTTAAGACTCTAGAAAGATGGAAAATTGTAAGTCACTTGAGAAAAAGTATAAAGATGCAAAGAGATGGAAAATTAATTTGCATCCATCTAATCAGCTACAGGAAGAAAGCAAACTGCTAGTGCAATCTTTTCATTTATGGTGCATTCTTCAGCATATTGAAAAAATTATGTTTTGGAGTTTTTTTCCTGAATACAAAAGTTTTGAGGCTGTAGTGCAAAGTCGTAAAAGACAGAGAGAAATTATTAAGATAGCTGTGCAATCTAGCTGTCACACCTAGGAAAAAATTACTTCTTCCCTCCACTGGATTAATTAATTTTTAAGGGAGATGCAGAACACACTTTATATCCTGAAAAGTTCTTCTGACTTGACTGCTAAAAAAAGCTGGAGATCGAGCCTGCTGTGCTTTTTAGATTCTTTTCTGAACATATGTGCTCACACACACACAGACACACAACACACACACACACAGAATAAATAGTAAAGTTAAAATGTTAAGAAACAACCATTTCAATCAAGGATTCAAGTCCAGCAAGGATGCACATGACATGCTATCCTCTCCCCAGAACCCCTCCACCTCCCAATCCTTTAAGCTAAGCAGGGTGGCCAAACTACTATATAAAAATATGCTTTTTATATTCACATAAAAATGCCTCAACTTCTGTTGTTTTTTTATTTCCCAAAGTATTTCCACAATGACTCAGTAACATTTCAACCTGCAAGTTTGCTAAATGAAATACAGTAATCAAGGTTTACAGAGTACTTAATAGTTTAAGCTTTGTTACCTACTGCTTTAAAACATTGCTATGAAAGAGACAATGATTGTTAGTCTAAATTTACTAATAGGAAATGAGTAAACCTGGCCTTCCTTTCCTGTCTTTCCTGTAAGATGCTACTTAGATGTCCTTTTCATCATGGATGCTCCCCTCACATCACTTTGCTGGTTGTGTCAGGCACAGACCTACACTCAAAAGTTATGAAACCATCAGTTTGAAACTAAACTTAATTTGTCTACTTCTTCCCTGTAACTCATTGGAACTATCTTCATAGGCTGTACAAATGGCTGCCTCAGCTGAATGGGGATAACAAATGGAACAAACAGACCCTGACCATTCCTCAAAATGGTCCTGAGGATCAAAATTCCCTGGTTCCTGAGGACAAAACTCTGAGGATTTTTTCCCCCTCATGTAGTTCCAAGAATAGTAACCATTGTGCAATTCTGCTCATTTGGATGTGCTTTATGACAAATACATACTGCAAATTTTAGATAAATACTTGTAGTTTGGCAAAACCATGGCACAGCTTAAACCTTCTACCAGTTGTAGGCCTCAGGCTTGTTCTCAGACTCTCATGCAGAGGGGAAGAACTCATTTGAATAATGCCAGAGGTGCTCAATGGCCTCAACTATTGGCATACACTCCCATTTTCTAGAATAGATGGCCAGGGTCATAGCTGACCAACATTTGATCTTATGCACTGAGAATATACAGTGGAGAGAGGCTAAATGCTGATTGGCCATGAAATTATACTTGATGAATATTCTGTTCATTAAACACTACATACATACTCTTCTATCACATCGTTCTGACTTTACAATATTAAAACATTTACTACAAAGAATTTTTTTTTTTTTTAATTTTCTTCTGTCTATTGTAGCTCACATTTTTCTACCTGGAAGAAAATGCATAAAAATAAAGGACAGTCTCAGTGGCATAGAACAAAAAAAGTCTTAGATAATTCAAGAATTATGGGAAACTAATAAAAAACATTCACCGGTTTATATGGACATATGGACATAAACTGCCAGTGTACCTTCTTATTTTATTGTAAATAGATAATACAGTAAATGGTTATCTTTGTCTTACTTTGAAAGAAAATCAACCTCCAGAACAATCTTGAAGGGAAGGGAATGGTGGGGGGAGAGGAGGGAGGGGGCAGGATGGGACTAAGAGTGACTGAGAAGGAAACTAACAGAGAAAACACCTTGGGAGGAAAAACAAAGCAAAATAATACTTACTGATGAATAGCTTGCAAGAATTTGCGTTGATGTTTCCTTACTTTTGCATGGTCTATCTTTTTAACCAGCTTTGTGTTTTTATAAATTAACCATGTTTCCCTGAGTACATTGGCCGCTGCATTTTTCACCTGTTTAATAAAAGAAAAACACCAGGCTGACAAAAGTTTTTATGTTATGTTTTTACTTTTTTATTTTATGTTATTTTTACTTTTCTGTTATTAACTCTTCCTAAAGCTTTTGAAATGCTGTCTTAACTGTGGGAAGTGGCCACCTCAAGAAGCTGAAGCACTGAGGGAAGAAAGCAACAACTGGATAAAGAGGACTGCTGAGCAATTTCCTTTTTCTATAGATGTGATGCTCAGATGAAATATTTTTGCATCCAGGAATAATTACCCCTCTTCAAAAAGTGGGAACTGTTTGTTGTTTATGGCAATATAAATTACAGTGAGAAAATACTAATGCATTATCTGTATGTTAATTAAGTGTATTCAATAGGACCATAAGATTTTTCTCTTTCTTATTCTGTGGTTAGCGCTTCTTAATTCTTTTGGCCACGTAACAGTCTTTTAAACTTTCAGAGCTGTTTGAGCACTCTGTCCCTTTCTTTTATCTTTTTTTTGGTTTTGGGTGGCATTTAGTTTTTATACTTGTTTCTTTTTTAACATCTCCAAGAAGATGAAAAAATGTGTTGTCAATTAACGTAGGCAGAGTTCTATTTAAAAAGTGCTTTGACTTATTTTTTAAATTCAGCGTTCCATAAAATGTTAAAGGGTACCTACAGTTCCCTTTTAAGGCCCTCCAAAATTTTCAAGAATGCTTAAAAACATACAAATAATTTGAATGCAAAGTTGATTAATGGCTGAATGACTAGGACACTTGGAAAGAGAAATTGTCCTAATTATTCCTCTTTATTTTCTCTCCTCCAGCTTTACATCATGCCAGTGACTGCAGTGTCAGAGCTAAGTCAATGGCTAAGACATTGCCGGAACGTCATGCAATAGCTTGGCCCAGCAACAGCCTCCCCACCTTGCACCTCTAAGTGTTGGAGAACCTTGTCCTGTTTCACTGAAAGCACAACTTGGTTTAGAGACGGCCTCAAAACCCCTAAGAAGCCCTTGCACTCCTGAACGACGTGGCTATCATAAGGCTGTGAGGAAAGATCCCCAGCATCTGCATGATTTGTGATCTGATGTGCATCTTAGATTTGTTTGCTTGGCTCACTTTTCATGTGCTTTGAGTTTCACGAGCTTAAAGCTTTATTTAATAAAGTATTAGACTAACATTGAGATTTATATGAAGAATAGATGAACAAAATAAACTTCAAAAGGCATAAATAAAGACTAGACTCAAAATCTGGCCAATCTCTGAGACACATTTTGGGCTCAGCTATCAGATAACACTAAAAAAGTAACTATATTATGAAAGGACAAATTATTTCTTGTGGTCTAGTATCAACAACACCTTAACTAACTGCAATAGGAATGTAAATCAACAAGCACAGAGAGACACCTTGTCAAACATCCCTTATACCTATATAGGGATTCTCTCCTCACTCACCCCTAGTCTCTCCCTGCTGTGACTCCTTGTTGGAGATACAGGCTGTTAGTGGTGAGCAGCACAGCCAGCCCAGCCAGAGCAGTGCTCTGAGACAGCACAGGGCTCTCTGCAACACAGCACCAGCAGCAGTGCAGCGCTGCATTGCTGCACGGAGCTGTGCTGGGGCAGCCATCCTCCTCCTCCTCTTCGCCTGGAGCAGAATGACTGCCTCCATCTCAGGCACCCACCACTAAGGAGAAACTGCTGAGTTCTGCTGAGCTGTCATTATAAGCACCGTTGTCTTCACATGGGCTCTTCTCAATAATGAAGACTGACTAAACAAGTTGAGTGCACTGTACAGTTAATATTCTTTTTCTTGTTCCCTCAACACTGACCTGTTTTATTTCAGCAAAGGATTTGTATTGCCTTGTTTGCTGCATTTTCTTTCATTTAAAATATTTCAATACCAATGGCTCCTATTTTGTGAAAGGTAGTTTCTTCTAAAAATAATATATACAAATATGTTTCAGGGTCCTTCAGAACTGTGTCCCACTAAATAAACCATGCATTATGTACAAAACGCAGTTGAAAAGACTGCCTCACTGTTATTGTTCATATGTTACAACATATGAAAACGTATGTTATTTTCTTAAGAACATCTCTCATAGCTTGAAATTTTTGTTTTTATCGGTCATTTCATCTAGTTTAGCTACAAAAAATATATTTTCATATGCTGTGCAAAAGCTTTTGGTTTAATACAATAGTTTCACAGCACTTAACTGCTAATTAACTAATTAACACCAAATACCTTCCAGTTACAAGGGCCCTCTATACAATATTCTGTACAAATCCTTAAAATTTGCTGACAACTTGCAGTTGTCCTCAATTTAAAGGAAAATTCAAGGCATCCAAATTCTAATCTTTCAAAACAATACCCATGATAAAGTTCAGCAAGGATACCAAGCAGGAGACTACTTAAAAACAAATGCAGAAATAAATTAATACACAGCATTCCTTTTCAGTTGTGAATATAAAGTGTGACTTACTCTTTTAGTTAGCTGGGTGTCCATCATGAAATTATGCACATGTTTTTCAGCTTTGGTAAGTTCTAACTTCCTTGCCACCACAGCTACCACCAGTGCAGTGCACCCAGCACCCTGAAAACAATAAAACAAACCCCCAAGATGTTACTACTGCATTTTGCAGAGTTTTTATAGGAAGTTTCTCCTTTCCTGTAGAAGTATGGCAAGCATCAGGTGATTCATCCCAGGTAAATACAGTGAACATACTACAGCTGTTTCATTTCAGAGTAATGACAAGTCAGTATTTACAGGCGGGTAAACTATTAAGGCACCAAAATAATAAGTGAGCAGCATCCCTTAAAAGTTCAGTTGTTTTTTGTTTTTTTTTTCCTGCAGGGGTTGAACATTTTCCATTTCTAATGCATAAACAAAGGGGGTGATTAAAAACAACTTTTTAAACCCAGTAACAGAGTACCCTGTTCTTAAAAATTTTCCCAAGGTTATAACAACTGCTAAAGAGGAAATAAGATTATATTAGTATTTAGCACGCACACACACAAAAGAAAAGTTTCTTAGGATTTTCTGCAGGGCCTAAAAATAATAGTAAAATTATTATTTACTCACTTTAGTATATCTTCCTGTTGTTCTGAGTCCTTCAGTGATCTTTTCCTATATTATTTCTGCTTATCTTATTACCATATAAAATAGAACACATACACTGGACCACATGTTCAAAACTTGGACAGAGAAAATACCAATTTTCTAATTCATGCTGTGTATGCACAGGCATGTATACACATTGACATGCATGTGCACAACAGGCAAATTCCTGAAGATGACTGTCTCTTTGGAATGACAGTGGCTTTATCAGCATCACAAATACAAATGCTTCTTTATGGGGCAGGTGAAACAGAAAGGAAGCTAAAATGAGCCAGGTAATAAGCAGTGTCAGTTTTACACATCTAGAGGTATCCTTACCTTTACACTATTTATAAATTGTGCTGCTTTAATAATTTGTTTTAACAAAAAAAAATCTTACCGTTTCTTTAAAAAAAAGTATAAATATCTCATTAAATATACAATGCTACATTTAACTTGCAGGTTCATTCCAATCTAGCTCTTAATCACTTGTGTCAGTTCCTCTTCAATATAAAGCAATCTCTCATTGCTTCTCATTGAAGCTTAGCACATTTTGATTCACAGAGCTTTCTTCTACACATTCTATATTTCTCCCATAAATTTATTCTCTATCCCTCAAATCTATAACTGCCTTACCCTCTCCGGAAAATCCAGAAGAAATCTCAGAATTTAGCTTTCAAAATCAAAAATCCATTATTAAAAACATAGAGACTGCAAAATAAATTAACTAATTGGAAACCTTTTTTCACACAGAGTCCTTAAAAAACTGGATATTGTCTCTGTGTGTACTTACTAAGGCATACAATGAGTTCTGTGAAAGCCTTGATTTAATAGTTTTTCCATTTCTCTGGTAGATTGTACCAAAAAATCCATCTAATCCTCCTCTCATTTTCTCCAGTTAGTTCTCATCTTCCATCCTCAACAGCTCTCAGCATTCCTTCAAATGAGTCTCTCATAAGTTTGCTGCATTTCTTGCTTCTTTCCTGTCCTCAATACTAAGCCTTTTTTTTTCTCCACCTCTCTGTTGTCCAGTCTTGTGATGATGTAATTAATGGGAATTTACTTGAAGTTTTGCTCTCTCCATGAGTCAAAATGGCACTATAAGTTCTTCTTCTCAAGACCCCATCAACAGTTAAAGAGAAAGAGCACAGCCACAGCTTAAGGCTAAGCACTTCAGAAGGCCACTGAGCCTCTGAAGAGGACAAGGCAGAAGATGCCCTAAGACATCCTACCTCCCTAGAAAACAGACAGTGCTCTTTAGATCTTCTTCCAGTCGAGGTAAATGCTATTATGCAGAAGACTTCTCTTTAGGCAAATAAATTAACAAATTACCCCATATAATAACAAGGGAATGAAGATAAAAGCAGGCATCTTTTGGTTCAGTATGTCAGGAAAACCAGGGCCAGATGTTGATTTAATGACATAACCAGAGTTCTGCCTGCTCAAAGCTGGAATGGAAATGAGCTTATCAATACAGACCCCACTGGCAAAAAAACCCACCTATTTAAGCCAATTTACTGGGGGAGGGAAATGCTAGATGACTCTTTCCCAATCCACCTCAAAAAGGCTAGAGGAATGGTGGCAGGCAAAAGAGCTTGCTTTGAAGCAAAATCATACCTGCCTTTGTGATTAAGGCATTTTCAATGTGGCACAGCAGCTGTAAGGGTCAAATGCTGTCAAAATAGGAGTTTTATGTCTCACATAAAATATACTGCCTGCAGTGTCACAATACTGTCACTGGTGAGCTGTGACAACCACCTCTACGGTGTTTATGCACTGCTATCTTCCTCATCTCCAGAACAGCTTATTGTGATAGCAAGGTACCTTAAATTCAGTTTAAACCTCTTCGTTTTGTGGTATATGATGGGATCTCAAGACATGAATACGAGTTCTTCTAGTGTTTCTTCAGAAGCAGGAAGTATTACACTACCTGCATGTTAACACTTCATAGTACTGTGAAGGAAAAATAATCACTCATAGCAGCTTCCAACAATGACTAAAATTCCACTTAACGTACATGATGCTAATTAGTATTTTATGTTACAATAACCTGCAGTATTACATGGCTCCCCTAAAGAGCTCAGCATCCTTAAAAATACTCATAAAGTGAGAATTATTCAAATTTGCAGAAATTAAATGGAGGAACTATAGTTACTTTAAAAAATTGTAGCATTGTGTGCATAATACTTGATATATTTTTTTACTATGTTGATTCACAGGAAAATCAGTAGGTCAGCTAATTCGTCCAGTACTATGCAATGCATCAGCTATTTATTTATTAAAATTGCTCAAACTAAGTGAAGGCACTAATAATTATTTCATCTGCAGGAGGGGTTTTTTAGAGAATAAAATTCTACAAAGTCTTATATTTGATGACTGTATTAACTTTCAACATCATTATTTTTATCCAGTTTTGAAGTAAATAATAAAATAAATCTTTGCTTCCAGCTCTTGTTCAGGAGAACTATATAAGATGAAGAAAATTAAAACGGCAGGCCCATATATTTTCAGGTATCAAAGCATTAATAAATTCTATCTGGAATTCACACTCCTTAATCAGCAGCATGACCACTTCCTGCATTATGGAGTTATCACAGTGTGTTTTGGCTTGGTAAGCAGCCTGGTTTTAAGGGCACTTAGGACAGAAATTATTACAACACACGCAGTGTAAGCAAATTGATCAAGCCAGGGCTAAGGTCTGACTACACTGTTCATCTGCTCCACTTAGTGGAAACAGGTAATAACAGAATGAGCCATTCATTAATTTGATGGTGTTCAAGTACTCTATGATCAAGTATTTGCCAGCAACTGCCAGTTTTAAAAGCTGATTCTGATACCTGAATTCTTCTGTTTTCCAGAGGGCATGTACAAGCTGAATAAAATTATCTACTAAAGCATGAGAAGCTCTTAAAGATCACAGATTGAAGAATAGGCAAGATTAGGAATCCGCTGATGAGCGGAGCAATGCTTATTTCCTGTTTGCAAGGATCAGAAGATGAAGCACATGAATTAATCCTGAATATGCAGTATTTCTTGCTTGATATGAAGTGTAGCATATTTGTCTACAGTAAAAGCAAGAAGTCTGAAAATAAACATATCCACAGTCTTCCACCAGAGCAAATCAACAAACTCTGGTCTTCACAGTGGCATCAGATCTCTGATGGTGATTGTAGAATTTGCACTCCTCAGCAGTACAACCTTTAGCATTGGGTTCACAACCGTTTACACAGGACAGAACTTGTCCTGACTGTCAATGTATTTAGCTATTGTCCTTTATGAAAGAAATTTGATGTGACTGCAAGCAACTTGAGGACATTCTTCGTATCTTTAATTCTAAATATGCTGCTCCTCTTAAGGACAAAGAATGGCACCTAAAGCTCAAATGCTCATGCAGGTACGCAAGTCTGTGAAAGCCATTCTCCTCTCTAGCCCTCTTTGATGCCTAGAATCCAAAGTGAGTTTCCCTGATAGAAATGTAAGTGGAAGTGTACGTTGGCATTTTACTCATATATGCTTAGGCAGTTTTTAAACACTAGTAGGATAACAATTTTCTTTGTTATGTAAATATAATGATGACTGATACATCTAAAAAATGAATGGAAGGATGGATTAAATTGAGGGGGAAAAATAATGTCATCAGGCATTAATGTCAAACCCATGTTATTTGAAAAGTGAAAAAGAAGAAAGATGAAATTAGTTGTATTTTAAATTACACTTTAAATTTAGCAACTGAACATGACATGAATTTAACTTAAACATGACTCTCAGAAAAAAGCATGACTATTACGTGGTGCTGTCTTTCATTTTACTTACTTGCCATAAATTGCAACTTTCCCTATTTTCTGCACAGTCTCTTGGCACTTAGTTCTGAATTATTACAAGCCTTCTTTCAACTGCTTTAACAAAGCAAACTATGTCTTAGACACATCAGACATTGCTGCAATGGTTATTTGCTTTACCTGTCATTCTTAAAATGTTACTCTGCTCTGTGTTAATGTAGTCCCTTCACTATGGCATTGTATACAGAACATTTGCCCTCAGTTGCAGTATTTTATGACTCCTCAGGGATTTCAGTTCTAAAATGATCTTTCAGACAAGATTCTTTGCATCACCTATTTACTTAGTAAAAGCTCCCAAGAAGCATATAAATCTAATATATAATTTTCTTTTAAAACCTTCCCCTTCTTTGTTTAGGATTTTACTTACTACAAAGCCTAGCAAAACCAGTGAAGGTTGTTGTAGTGTGTTCTGTTAGTTTGTTTAATTGCTCCCCCATTTTCTGTAATGGTTCTGCCCTCCCAGTTTTTCCCACCTTAGCCTTGTCAGTTATTATGTTCCCATGGCAACTCCCGCCATGGTATTGTCTGTCATTTGGTTACCTTGGTTACTCCCGCCACAGTTTATGTCAATCCTCTCTGTTATATTATTTCCCCTCCCCTGTGTTTCCTTATATGTGAATTTGTTCTCCTCTCTGGGCCCAGCCAATCACTCCCCATTCCTCCCAAGCCTCCAGAATCTTCTGTGCTTAGGGAGACTTGATTGGCTGTGGCTCTGGGGCCCCTCCTTTACATTGTTTCTATTGGGTTTTCTCTCATGCCCGTTATCCTAAGTCCACTCCCCTACCTTCCCCTATTGGTTCCTTGTAAACCCCTCCCTGAGATCCCTCCTCCCCTTTATAACCCTGTTGCACCTTTTGTTCTTGGTCACTCGCTGGCAGGCACGTTAGATTCAACACGTGGGTGTCTGTCACTCCCTGGTTGACAATAAATCTGACAAGTCCCCAGTGAGTGTCCGGACTCTTTACTCTCTTCGGCCAGCAGCGATTCCGTCTGCAGTGAGCACAGCCCGAAGCCTTCTGACGCTGAGGGGCGCTCCCACATTTGCAGCTGGGTGTTGGCCGCCCTCCTACTTGCCGGACACCTGACTTTAAGGCCACACCCTGCTGCAGAAGGTATGTCAGATTCTGGTATGCCCAGATGACTTCTACTACCCTACATAATTCCTCCTTGTTTCCCATTCTATTTGCTCTACAGGAATGGTAAACTCATCAGTAACTTGGATTATGTATTTCTACTCTCTTTATACAGCACTGGCATCAATAGGATCAAGAGTCCTGAAGGGCTACAGGAATATAAATAAGAATTAATAAAGGTGGTAGGGCTGTATTACCCAGTTATAGTATATACATCATACTAGACCCGACTTTCCTTTTCCCTTCCTTACCAAAGTCACTCATCAATACATTATTACATGCCAGCTGAGATGCCTTTTGCTGTCCAACCACAACCCTCTGTTCTCTTCACTTTTGCAATCCACACTGAGCTTTCTGCTGATATCAGCAGAATTATCATATCAAAGCTGACTAACTAAAAGTTACTACAGAGGATTTTACATCACAGTAAACCACACCTGACACAGCCATAGCAGATGGAAGGAAAAAGCTGGTGTTTCCCACAGCACACAATGTGGCTAAGGAATCTGGATCAAGACCATGCCTTCACTACCACTCACAAGTGCTAAGACTGAAGGTCCACACTGCTGCAAGACAGTGCTGGCAAAACTGCAGGGTTCAGACTTCAAGGGCAGCCTAGCATGTACATCTAACATTATTGTCAAGGTGCAGTTTTACTGATAGCCAGAGAAGCTTTCAGCTCTTCACCCAAGTGTTTATCTAAGGCAAATAAAGCTTAGCACTGGCTGCATTTTCAGTTAGAACTGAAAGCAGCATTTGGTCAGTAGAGAAACCCTGTTGTCCCCTAAGTAATCGCCTCGGGCGTTGTCACTTGGTTTTTTTTTTGGATAAGGTTCTGAAATACCTTCACAAGACTACAGTGAATTGAGTCACTCCTACAACCACCTGGACGGTGCTGCTGGTGAGAAGGGAAGCAACACTGTGTACCAGTGCCTCTGTTGCAAATCACCTGGCATCTCTGGTTTACTGGACTGGAATGAAGAGCAATCTTAAGTGCTGTAGGCGTCACAAAAATGTCCTGCTATACTTGCCTGTAGCTGAAAGAAGGCAGTTGCCACATTTCTTGCTCATTTCTCTTGGGATCCACTGAGGGAGAGAGAAGGTGCGCTTTGCAGACATATGGTTCTGGTGGGAAATTTAGCTCTGCACCAGAAAAGGCACAACATTCCTCCTGCTGCTCTGCATAAAATGAAAATCCTGTAAGAATTTAAACAGGCATTTTGTTCATTTGGCTCTCTCAAAGGTGGATATATATGACCACCAGGGAAGGGGAAAAAATTTTTTAAAAAATGTTGCTTGAAGTAAAAAAAAACCTCTCCAAAACAACACAGGCAGAAGCTAGGGAAGTGGTGCTGTATAAATGTGGGTTTGTATTTGTCACTGTTTACTGGGAGAGATGTATAACCTTGCAAGACTGAAATAAAATGAGTAATAGGACAACAACTATGTTATCTCACCAAAGAGTGATCTAAAAAACCTTTGCATTATTTACACTTTCATGTATTCAATATTTGCCTGGCTACTATTGTCTTCAGTGGCGTTTGTCTGCATCACATCTAGAATTTTACTGCAACATTTCTGATCTATACAGGAATAGATGAGCAGGTTTGTTTACTTCTAATTAGTCCATAAGGTTTTTGGCAATGTTGCAAAAATAAAAATTATGAAGACCATTCAAATGTTATGAATAAATGTGAAATTGATTAACTAGTGTCACACATAAGAGTGGGTATTCATAAGTGAGGGTGAAGTAAACTTCTTGAAAAATGAAAGCTGGGTACTAGAAGAGACATCTGAGACAACACAGGACATAATGATTCATAACATGAAGACAGTGTCTCTTCTACAGGGGAACCTATAAAGGACTGTAGTGTTAATGACTGTAGTGTAAATGTAGATTGTCACAAAAATTAGGACAATTTTCAGAATTATCAGAATCCCTGACAATTGAATATGCCCTGATGACTGGGCTTCTGGTAAACCTTCAGTGGTTATAACAGCTAAACATCCCTGGACAGTTTAACCCAAAACGCATAAAAAACTTTTTTTGCTGGGCAAGGGTTGAAGTCTAATTTCCTTAAATGAGCAGGCTTAACAGCCTATAAGGCTGATGGGAAACATCACTTCAATAATTCAGGATGAAAACTACCAGCGATGCTCTTGTTCTTCACCTCTGTTGCAAATGCAAAAGTTTCATGAGAATATGTGTAAAAGTAGACAAAAACTGCTGTATTAAATGTAAGGTTATTGCAAATGAAATTACATTTTCTCAGATCAAAGAAGTTTTGCTGCAACAGTCATCAGCTCTAGTCATACCTATGTAGACAATGAAAGCATGAGACAACTGCTTCTCATTCCAGCCAGGAAATTATTGCCTTTGAATTTACTGAAATGCATCCATAACTAGACCACAGTGGGAAAAAGTTCCTCTGTCCTCTGACACTTCAAAAACTTCCCTGCTCTACTGGAACGAACTAAAGACCTTCTGAAGAAGTCTTTTTCCTTAATTTTTTTAGTTTTGAAAGATGGTGAAACCTTTCAAGAGGTGTTGTTTACTCAAATGGAGTAAAACCTCTGCCATTGCCTCTCTTTTCAGATTAACGTCCTCTCAACCACGGCTTCAGGGATCATGTTTTAAAGCTTCTCAACTTGATTTTGATAATTTATGATTCTTTACTTCAGCTAGAAATTTCACTCCAACAAGCCACAGACATAGAATAATCCCAAACTACCTTTTCCCTACCAAAGTTACCATTTTTGCAATTTGTTGTGCTGGAACAACAATAGTAGAAGAGCGGACAAATTCCTCAGCAGCCCAGCTTTTAATAGCTTTACCCCTAAGAATGCAGGCATCATTAACTGTCTTCTCCATATAAAATTTCTGCTCAATATGTTGTGTACTTAAGTTCTACTATGATAGAAGGAACAAACACAATCTGTTCTAATGTCACTTATATTTACTACTGAATTATCAGAGTCTACTGAATCACATTCTAGCGCGTATCTGAGACATGGACCCAAGATGCTATCAATTAAATGAAAAGCTTTTCATATTTTCTGTACTCTCAGAGAAGTAAAAACTGAACAGTGATCTAGATGTTTGAGATATCTTCTTATCAACAGACTGATGCACCACAGTGCTTTAACTTGATTTGATCATACCTTTTCAGTTTTTAAAGTGTAATTCAAAATACATTCCTATATTTTATAAACTATTGTTTCTCTGACACACTATGCAATTAAACAATGTGAACAAAAATTTGCATAAAATCACACATTTTAGACATTATTATGCACAATAATTTACGACCTTTTTGTACACTACCCATAAAGTTCTATAAAATAATTTCCGTATTTGCTTGAATCTGATGTTTACCTTATTTCTTCTCTTTTTCAGGACTCAGCCCAGAAAATATGCAAACAATGTTAACTATGCAGTTAGAATCTACTTGTTTATCACCTCTTTTTTCTTACAATCTAACAAATAATAAATTTCAAAAGTAATACAGTTCAGATTTGCTACTTACAAAAAATAGGACAGTTAGAAACTGCTACTCTAAGTGCCACATTCCTATGTTAGATAGTTCTCTGTATTTGTTGGTAAGACCAGGCTGTCTACAATTATCATTTGCACAAATATCACAATTAAGTCTTAGATGAAGAGTCCTCTGTTCTTAAACCAGAAACACCTCATCCTCATCACTTTTTCCATGATTCATAGCAAAGAAACCATGATTGTTTAGAACTAAATGCAGATTTGCAAAGGACATAAAACCTTCAGCATGAGAGGATTTAAAATGAGATATTAATTTTTGATTTCACCATTTGGAACTAATAAAAACTATTGCTCCTAAAGCCATATTGTACACACTGACTTCATTGCAACTACTCTAATAAGAATATTTCATCTACATGAGTGGTCTTCAAATACCGTAGTTAAAAAATGCGACTTAAAGTTTTTGCAAGGAAAAACTCAAATCTCGTCCACAGCTATTGTATACATTTAAGAAACTTTCTGTATTTATTTGGTTTTTTCCTAAGCCTAATTATCCCTTTGAAGTTCATTTCAACAAGAGAAGTATAATTTCTACATTAGCAAAGCAGACACTTGAAATAATATCTATTTCATTTAAAGCAAACTTCATTGAATTATACCAAACCAACTGCATCCTGTGACAGGACAATTGCAATTCATCCATTTTATTTGCAGCTACATAGGTTTTTCTTACGTGTCTGCTTCTAACTGTTGGTGGGTGGCTTTGCAGGAAGATTCTGCATCATAAACTTTGCATCATACAATAAAAGCACCACCTCACCACATAATGCTGGGTCTAAAAGGAAAAATGTCCTTCTTAAAACTCATAGCAGGTCCTTGTATTTGCAGTCAGAAGAATTGATTGCCCTTGTTTTATTTTGTGTAACTGCAAAAGCTTACGAAGGTCTGCAAAAGTTATCCATCTCACAGTCCATAATTACGAAGCTTTCCGTATCTTCTCACACTCCCCCTTACCAATTTCTACAGAACTTCTTTAAATTTTTGCTAACTTCATTAATCTCCTTATAAAGCAGGGAAAATTTTGCAAACCACTCCAAGGCCTGAAATGCAAAGAGCCATTTAAAAAGTGGAAGTGCCGCCTACACCAGCAGTTCCACTTAGGAACCATACAAGGAATGTGTTCCACCTGTAGCTGAGATCACCTTGCTGATGGGCAACTGAGAGATCTGCCTGGGTGTGCAGTGACCACCAGGCATGGCAGCTCCAGCAGGCACAAAACACATGCACATTCAGTACACCAACAAACTGCGTGGCATGGCGAGGATGCCACAGGTCTCCCTCCTTCCTCTCTATCCTGCTCTGAGAACAGTGATAGCAGCTGTATGTGTATCCATCCAGCACACTCTTCCAGAGCTACCTAAAGAACACAATGGGCAGAGAATACATTTGCTCTCAATTTATAGCCCACCTGGCCCACAGTCCATGACTGCTGCCTAGTAAAGTTTCATTGGAAAAACACAGGTTGGTAATTGAGTTGAGGCACCCAGTTCAGTTTCACTTGCTTGACTGTAAAACATTTCTGCATTGTCTCCTCTTTGTAACATGCTGTGTCAGTATTTTTATGAAAGTTTCATACATTTAAGTGCTTTGAAAGATCAAAATGTAAAAGTTTTCATTGTTTGCTTTTTTTGTTCACAGGGTTGTTTTTTGGGGGGGGGAATGTTTGTTTGTTTTTGTTTTATTTTGGGGTTTTTTCCCCCAATTTCTCTAATACATTAATGACACATGTTTGCTATCTTACTCTCAACAATTCTCAAGGCATTTGGTATAATCTGAATATGTGTAAATATTTTCCTATTTTCCAGCAGTGTGCATTTGTAGAGTTTAAAAGGTGTCATTTTACATCAGTGACCGAAGACAGCAGTAGTTACAATGTCAATCACCAACACAGCTTGGTGCCACCAGCAGGCTGCACAAAGTCCACTTCTCAGGCTGGCATACAAGGCAGAGCTCAGCCTGAGCACTCCCATTTCCATTGCACAGAAAGCAATTCCTGAGGCAGAGGTCTACCTTCCTTCTTGATCCCTAGGGATCAAGACACCAAAGTAGGCTTCCTTGGGCCACCAGTTCCACAAAGCCAGTAATAATTCTTCAGTTGTCTGCATAACTACTCTTGTATTCACATGTATTTCTGTTTATTCCCCCTTCCATCCATTTTAATAGGGACCTTACCCAAAAGCATACACTCAGCAGCATTGATCACACTAATCCAATGCATTTGCTGCTTCACATGCTAGGGAATTACACTTTACCTCTTAAAAGCCAATATATGTTTTTTATTTTACTAGATCCATTCAACAGTTACCTTTGTGTGTCTTTTAATTAGATCATCAATTGCTCCTATTAAAATAAAAATCTAGGTCTGTTCTTTTGGGATTTTATATTTTCCACAACAAACAATAATTAGTTACTGTACAAGTTTCAGAGAGTAATTGGTTTTAAAGAATGATATTCAAGACCAGTAAGCTTTTCGGTATTACAGGTTTGTCTAGAAGAGAGTTCATTATTATATTTACTGTGCCAATCTTCATACTACTCAGGTCCTTTATAAAAACAAAACAAAACAAAACAAAAGGCAAGTACCAAAAAACCCAGAATAATTCCAGCATCTGACTTTTTCTCATTGTTCCATGTTTTTTTATCTCAAAGATTACTTTAATGCAGTTAGTGGTTAGTCTTTCTATTGTTTTACCTATCATAACACAGGAGGAGCTACTTGGCTCGTTTTCCCAAATTCATTACCACGACATTCTGATTGGAGCCTTTGCTCCTCCAAAGCTGCTGCAGAACTTATAAATCCATACTTGACTTTTCCACGGAAGCAGTGGAAGTGACTTTGCATGAGGATTCTGTCAATTCTGCAATCCCTGCCCTGCAAGGTGGCAATAAACACTGCTTCTCCATCCCTTTTCCTAGAATTTATTACCACATTTAATTCTCTCTGGCATCAATATCCAACGCAGAAAGGAGCAAAGGTAAACACCCCAGAAGATGGCAAATTTGAGCTCAGCCAAGAGCCTTTAAAAAAGCCCTGTGAGTCCTTCCTCTGCTTTTAGGCTGTACCTTTCAACTCTACTGCAAACTCTGTATTTAAGGAGATATGCATTTACCACCTTTTGAAAATATATTGGAAATCTTTATCAATCTTTATCAATAAATGCCAATAAGCTGAAACCTATCAGGTTTTTTTAAAAGATTATTTTGAAGCATTTGTTTAAAAAAATCCTTAAACCTTACAAAAAAAAAAAAAAGCAGTTTTTTTTTCTCTCTGGACATAAAATGTACACTTATTATAAATGAATCTTCTGTCAACCTGTGTGCTCAAAAGGGACGATGCTTTGATGGTATTTGCTTTCAGCCATAATCCCAATATAGTTGTTTTAACAGAAGCAGATTATTTATACATGTATTACTTATAATCAGGGGCAAAAAATCATAAGGAAGTATGTATGTTATTGTTGCATACTGTACATACATGACAATCATTCAGGCTTTCTCATTCACAGGGCCATTTACACAGAAGTTGGTACAAATGAGGGTGGCAGAGTCCAGAACTTGTTTACATCTAATTTACTGTAGATAACTGTAAATTTTCCAACCATCACAATACATTGCCTTACTCCCTGCCCAACTTTGACCAAATGGTGCAGTACAAAAAATTAAAAACAGACACAAAATGCACTTAATAAATATATATTGAGCATGCACAACCTAACAATTGCTGCATGGTATCAATGGTAGCAAAAGGTCTTACTGTTCAAATAGCATAACATCATTCCACTTAAAGCAATGGACTGCTATGAATAATATGTTATTAGACTCGTAAGAAAGAGTAGAAAACTGTACTCAAACAAAAGAATTTTAAGAATTTAGCCACCATTTTGTCTCTTTGTGATTAATTCTAAGAAACTCATAAGAAATTAAGAAATTCATAACTGAAGATCCGTTATTAGTAATGGTCCAATTATACATGCCCAAAGATCATCAAGATGATATGATACCTTAACATTTAATGGAAGACTTTACTGAGATTTCTGAATTATGTCAGGGTGCAATTTGTTTCTCTGTATTTCATTACACAGCTGCTAAATTTTTGCTTAAAGAAAAAGAAAACTCTTTTATTACTAGGAATGAAAGACTTTGGGTATGGCCTGATTAAGTACACCCTCTACAAGACAGCTGATGAATATTTCTTTATGACTACAAATAGTTTTTGGCTTAATTTCAAATTAATTAACAGCAATCACAATCTCATATCCAATTAACAAATTCACTCACCATGATTCCAGTAAGTAAACAGACCCCTTTTCCACAGTATGTATTTGGTACCATATCCCCATATCCAATGGATAGAAAAGTTATTGAAATCAACCACATTGCTCCAAGGAAATTGCTAGTAACATCCTGTTGGTCATGGTATCTGAAAAGAAGAAGAAAACAATTTCTTTATCATGAAAACATTTGCTAAACTATTGTGCTCTCTGAAAAAAAATGCATTGACTGGTCCATACAACCATTTTTGTTTACAATATCATTTTAAAAGCAGCTGTAAGGAATTAAATATAACTCAAATACAGGAGCAGTAATGGATCAGAAGATATAAAAATAACACCAGTAGTAGAAATAGTTTATAATTCAGTATTTGGTTATTACTGTAAAGCATCAGAAACCTCTTTGTTTTTAACATAATATCTTCACCAGGGGTACAAGTCCTGGTAATGCTCTGCAGCAGCAAAAGACCCCAGAACACCACAGGTGTTGCAGTCTGAGGCAAATATGAGAGTCAGAACGGGTTGTGTGCACAACCAGACAGCAGAGTACATCTTCATCTCCTTGGCCTGAATGCAACTCTATGATCAGAAATCCAATTCTAAAAGAACACATAAATGCTGACTTAGACAACCCACGGTCTTCTCCCTCCTTCTACAAGTTCAAGGTAAATAAAAAAGTATGCCATTGTATTTCTCACCACCAAAAGATGTTTACCTTAAATATAGCAAAAACTCCCTTTAGTGTTTTAGTCAGCTATTATGTGAAATTTCACAATGTGCTGTTTCTTGACTTAGTTTCAATATTATAGTAGAATATGTTCATTTTTCCTTTCCGAAAACTGCTAAGTTTAGACAAATAATCTTGTCTCCACATGACATATATACCGAATAGAAGGTGAAGATACATTTTATGTTTAAAAGACTGTTGTCACCATTCACTCTGTGATGGGAAAAAAAAGCCTAATAGGCTAAAGTAGGGTGGAATTTTGCTTCCTGGACAGGGCAGCCCTGCCATAGAGACTATCTGCAGCAGCCACTGCAGACTCAAGGTTGCAATCACCCCTGCAGCTGCTGTGAAGCCTCAGGTTAACTAAATGCTGTTAGATTCCCCAAGGGTATTATTTTAGCCAGTCCCTAAATCCGTGTCTCACAGGGGGTCACAGAGGGCCATTTATTTAATTAGTTCACAAATCCGTAAACAACCTGCTTCCCACAACTGAAATAACCGCTTCTGTTTCCTTCCTGTCTGGACTGCAGTCTCCGTGATGGACCAAGAATGCAGAGCAAGCACAGAGGCACTCTCAGGAAATTCCCTGTTCTCACACATGTAAGATATTCACCATAAATGTCTGCAAAATACTATCTTCAAAGTCCCACCTATGCTCTGATGATTACAACAACATAAAAGCTCTTTGACTGCCAGAGACCACAGCAATCACTCCAATCAAGTCTGTTCCACACTTCACCTGGATTTTCCTCTCTCCTGGTGTCAGTGTTGTCTCTCACATACTTTATGCAGATTTTTCTGTTTTGCCTAGAACAAAACTTAGAAAAATGTAGTAGAAGTCCACATTTGGAGGTCCTAAGGACATCAGCAATGATAACCACAACAGCAAAAAGAGTTAAAAAAAAGAATGGCAGATTTAGCTCATGACCACAGAGCTTTGCATGTAGCAAAGCACAACTGGACATTGTTTCTGTTCTAGACTGCACTAAATGTTAGGGATTTTAGTCTCCACTCAAGAATCATAGCAAGTAACAGCTGTGAAATAAATATATGAATACAGAGAGAGAAACGCATTTGTCCTATCCAGGAGGCAAGAAGAAAGCCTGTGTACCTATCATGGTAACCCATACAGAGTATCATGAGATACGATCCATAGGATCTGGATGAACTTCACAGAAGGGTACTAAAGCTACACTACATTCTAAGGTTAGCAATTCAGGCAAATATTAAGAAATGCCCACATAAATATTTATAAAACATTTCTTTAATGCCTCTCTTTGGATTTTGAACCTGATCACTTCCATGCTTCATATGACGGAAAACAGAAGAATCAAAGACAACTCACTAAGTTCCAGAAACAGATAACCCATAAGAATATTAAAACTACTTTCTTAAGTCTTGAAGAGAAAGGGAAGAGAAAATGGGAGTCTTCATCTGCGTATCCTTTTACCCATGTCAGAAAACACACACGCCAACCAACACATAGGTTCTTTAAAAAAGGTGACATAAATTTTAAAAGGCACATCAGAAGTTTTACAAGCTTCTTTGGAGACATGGAGACAATTAAGCTTCCCTAGATTAACTATTCATTAAAGCTATCTACATCAATATTTATCTTGACATACACAATTCAAGGACCTGTTTAAATGTTTCCATCCTAGTTGTTAGGTCAGGCGTCTTGGATTCCCTACTCAGAGTATTTTCACCTAGTTATGATTTTAAGGCTATAGTTCAGCAATCAAATGTTGCATGCTTAATTTAAAAATCATCAGCAGTACTTATTAATGAATTTACTGTGATTAAGAAACAAAGACTATGGGAGGACATGAAATAGTTGCAGTTATTGCTGCAACTGCTCAAGCACAGTAAAGCATGCAAATTACATAATTTGCCTAATTTAATATTTCAAAAAAAACTCAAAACTTTTTCTCTTGCAACTGTACATGGAAAGTTGAAGGGCTGACTTCTCAAGTTAAAAATCTGTAGGTAAAATTGAGACAGTATAAAAGGGTATCACTCTCATGATAATCCTGTAATTTCTTTGACATATTTTTAAGCAGGTAGTTTAATCTTGTCTCATCTATTTTGAAACCTCACTTAAGATTTTTTAATCTCTTTGGTTAGCAGTTCTGGTGTATGTCTACACGCTTTGGATTTTCATAAGATTACTGTCGTGTCAGCAGAGATTTCCAAGTACTTTATAAAGTCACCAGGCACCACTATCACCTGGGACTCAAGCCTGAACCAGGAAAGTCAGGACAGTCTTCTGCTACCCTGTGTCCACAATCAGGTAAAAAAAATATTATTTTATCTGCATCAAAGCAGAAAAAGCAATAGCTTAAGAAAGCAGTATTGCAGAATCTTTATTTGTACAGTCATGGAAATGGCTAAAAACTAACACCACAGGCATTTAAATTGCTTTCTTTTGAAGAAGGGGAAAGAAATCAACCCACTGACCTTCGACGTGTTTTCAAAGTTATCCCAGCATCAAAGAGTGAACTTGTCCATTTATGCAGGGGAGTAGCAAAATGGTCACAACAGAAGTTAAACTTTGTCATGATTTTCTATAAGAGCATCTCCAATGTGTGGCTCCAGAAATCACCAGAAGACCACATAAAAGCCATTCCTACAAGTGTATCTTTCACTTCACCACTGAGATTATCCCCAGTAGAGCCAATGCCAGTGGACGTTATAGAGAGCAGAAAAGCCAACCACACCAGCACTGGAGCAGAGCTGTCCTGCTCTCTGTCAGTAACCACACGCCACTACAAACATCTCCTCATGCCAGCTGGACTGAAAGACAGCTTGGGTGTAACACATTCCAATATTCAACTGTAGTTTTCCCAAAGTATCCTTTCATTCTACATCTGAAACTTCTGAAACCCAATAGGAAAACACTTTACTATGAAAAGCTAGGAAACCTGAAAGCTCAGAATTAAAGAAGTAGAAACAAAGATTTCCTTTTAGTGAAGAGTTTCACACAAAGCAGAATCTTGTCATGACCATTCAAATTCCAAAATGGAAGATTTGTTGTCATTAATTCTTATTTATATACAGGTTTTTATTTTTATATTTTTTTACTTTTTAAATTAGTCACGGCAAACATATTCATATAAATATTTGAAGTCCATTATTCTTAATCAATAAAAAGCTTCCTAAGAAAGATCGTGAATCACTTGAAGATAAGAACTAGTATTAAACTGTATTAAAACTGCATCTATATACAGTTTGATTTTCTTGATTACACCCAGACTCACACAGCCACAGAATAAAGGGTCATTTACAAAACCTGTGTGTTCCTGCAGTGTACAAAAATCATTGGCTGAAGTCACACAGGCATAAGAATTATTTATCACACTTCTTTTCTAATAAGGGATATGTCAGCAGGCAGGCAGTGCTGCAGCTGGAACACACTATTCACCAGGCAATCATCATCCTGTGAAACACCACCATCCAGTTCTCACCAATCAGCATATATAAGTCTTGACACCACTCTAATTTAAACCAAAAATAGCTGAATGATTATATTTGTGAAAAAATAGCATGGCTCAATTCTTTCTCAAGCCAAACTGAGTGGGAGTTTTACAACTCATCTCAGAAAAATAGAAATATATTCCTCAGGCGACAATGCTGCAGTGGCTTTGTTTGTCAAAGAAATATTTCAAATTCTTTATCAAACAGCAGTCTCCTGCTTTCACTGTTAGTGTCATGATTTTCAGTACTGTTTCCCTTCCCTGTTTGTATATGATGAAGTTTCATTTAATTGGTAGAACATCTGCTTTTAGCTGCACACAATTATCACAAATTCACATCTGGACATTTAAGACACATTCATCTTAAAAAGAGCTTAATAAGAAGTAATCAAGTATAACATTAAGTTTGACCACCAGTGCATTAATTCACACTGAGCAGTTCCAATTCAGTTACTCTTGCCTCCATAAACAGCCTCTGATAACTTTGCTATTTTTGGTTTTGCCTCCTTGAACAAGTCAAGGAAAGAACTAAAATTTATTGAAAAGATGACCATTTCTGCCGCTTTTACCATAATCAAGAAGAAGTCCTGGCAATGGCAATTCAGGCTGAGGGGTTTTTTTGTCAAATGTTAAAATCTTTTAGACTATTAACAGCTGGAAACAGGCTTATCCCAGTAAATCAGAACTTGTCAAGGCTCTGTTGAGGAACTGATCGATCTAACCACCTATTAGAGCTCCCCACAGTATCAGACCATTCTGTTACTGTGTCTTTTTACTCTCAGTTAGATGGTTAGTACCAGCAGCATTTTATCTGTGATGATAGCAGAGATGTCTTTGTATTCCTTCTCCCTTCCTCCTGTTTAAAAGAAAGAAGAAATCCATAATGGCACATGCAAGGAACAGTGGGGATGACTCCAAATATCCAAAGTCAATGGAGGAAATTTTGCCT